GGGATATATGTACTGTTTTTTCGTTTTTTTCATAGCAGCTGCAAGTAACATCGTGGCTTTGTGGTAGAACACCTACTTGCCACGCGAACGGGCCGAGTTCGATCCCCAATGGCACCGAAAATTTTATTCCTGATTTTACTTCTTTCTCTGTTTTTTGCTTACAACGAAAGATGATGACGCCGATGGCAGAATTTCTACGACACGAGCTCTCTAACACTGTCGCGTTAAAAATAAGTACCAGCGCAAAAGCGCACTGCGTTGCATTTTTTTCTTGCATGGCGTGGTTTGAAACTGAGCATACACTCCGTGCGGGACCTATAGGGGCGCCATGAAAGGCGCACGCAGCGCCACTTTTGGTGTGGTGGGCGTCCAACGTTGAGAGTCGTAGCAGATATCAACGCCTAATTGCTTTGATAGCTATGGTGGCAAAAGCGCCCGTGGCCGGCGGGTTAGTGCATGCTTCAAGCACAATTTAAAAATATCGCAGGGGGACAATCTTCCGGGGTGCCACCGTGAATAAATGAGAAAACCTTCACAAAAGTGGTCACGTTTTTTGCGTTAGTGAGCCCTTTCCTGCCCGTCACCAGGAATGACGGCTAAACGCGTGTGTCAGGTGTGCGTAATGCATGAAGCTTGCTGCATAACTATCGCGGCAAGCTGTCATTCTTTCGAACTTAGATTATTATCCGTGCTAGCCCACTCCCTGCGCACTTGCAAAATGCTTGAAGTGTTTATAAATATCGTTGGCTCCACCGCCACTCGCCGTGGAAACTGGCGTGCTAGTTTGTTGCGGCGTCATGCCACAGCGATTCTCAGCCACAGAGTCTCGCGAAGTGCTTTGCTTGAAATTGTCGCGGCATCATCGTCGCTCATCATGATCATAGTCGTTACCTCGCCGCTCGCGCAGCTCATGCTAAGAGCTTGAGGCACGGGCGAGAAAGAGAACGCGAGAATATTTAGTCCAGAGAGGACAGCGCATGCCACGTTTCGTCTTTCGCTTCACCTTGTAGAGTCCTGACGATGACGGCACGGTCACTTTGGCCACCGTCACCTGTCTCTCATTCACTCCAACCTCGTGCGTTGTTTATGTTTCTTTCGGGAACAAACACTTACATGCATATCTGTCACTACAGCTTTCGCAAAGCATCGTTTCTTACCATCTATAGTTCTGCTTATACTCTACGCCCTGCATAATTTTTTTCTTTACATGCAGATTGTTCAACAGTGAAAGAAAAAGGTTGTTGAATTAACTAAATCCGAAAGATGGGATTCAATTCATTACTTCCGGTGGTTATTTCACTTGGAACTACACCACTTGGTTTGAGACACAGGAGCGTTTCGGATGTCATATGCGATTCGCTACGCGAGACGAAACGAATTGAATGGCAAGGTTATGTAAGTGAAACTTATTCTTTAACGACATTACGGTTTTTTGTGAATTAAGCTCATTAGGTATTTAGAAAATGATTCATTGCTAAATATTTTGAGATTTTTAAACAAAAGCACCTATATAACAAAGAACCTTCCATTTCATGGCCGATCCGCCTTGGTGCCTTGTGCCAGTTTAATAAGGACCAACCGACCATCTGATGTACTATCTTGATCCTATCGAGTGCACCTAGGCCTTTGAGTGGCTACTTGTGTTTACGGTAAAATGCTACGTAATTCACTTATCCCCGGCACTGACGAACCAATCAACTCAGGAAAGCACTAATCGACCTTGCATTGCATTTCTCAAAACTGCGAACGGTACACGGCGAAGCAGTAATATTGAAGTCTATTAAAACGTTCCATTAGCCTTGATATGAAATAAAAGTTGTTGCATGCGCTTCTTTTCTTACCAGCTCTGTCACAGCAAGAACATCAAGCAAGATCATTGCACCTGCAGAGGGTGTTTCAGACCAATGCAAGCACGCAGAATGCGAGACGGCAGAGTAAATGACAACAAAACACTTTTTACGTCCCACAGCCGTGATCCGCTTATTTAGCCACCCAATAAAGCAGGAAGAAGTCGAAAACCTCTGAAACTTCGTTCCTGCAGGACACCGCGTGTACCTGTTGGTGCAATCGACTACGGAGCTGTTCATGATTCAGATCAACTACGTGTTAGCGAACATTGGGGGAAGGTTTCGTTCTGCTCGGGCTCTCAACGTTTGTCTTCTCTGAAGGCCGCGTGGCCTTCAATAATGCATGTGCACTAAATATAACCTCAAAAGGCCTTGAAGAACACTGTTGAGTGATTTGGTAGTTCATTTTGAATTAAACTGCGTGAGAAACGTAGACGCTAGAATAAACGTACAACACAAGCGCGTACTAAAAACTAAAGTTTTTTTGAAAAAAGCACGCAACAAATGCACGAAGCAATAAAGCCTCTTTTGCAAGATTAACCATCAGAAAAAAACCAATATGTGCGCATCAAGATCTTTGATTTTCGAAACTCCACAGAGGGCTTGGCAACATAGTCGTTTTCGGCTTTGCAAATAATATATGTTCTACAACCTTGCGTATAGTATGTTCCTTGCGCCATGCCAGAACTTGTTCTTCGTAAATTTCTTGTATTTGTTTTGCGTATTTCAAGTATTTAGGCTGTTAGTAAATGCTTGTGTTGTTCATACGTTTTAAGGACTACGTTTTTCGCTCACATGAACAGGTTAGGCGGCATGTATCCAGAAAACAAAATTTTGTGAACAGTCTGTTCAGAACAACAGCGTTATATCAAAGGATATTGCCAGCGCCCTTTTCATGAAGTGTACCTGGATATAAGCTGTTAGACCTAGTAATGTTTGACCAGGTAAAAATAGGCGCCGCGCCGTAGCTGAAGTTTAAGAGGAGTGAAGGAGACAGGAACGCTGAATGACTTTCAATATTTATATGATCATTCGCATTGTTTAAGTATATATTTTTATAAAAGCTCTCACACAGCCTTTTTAGCACATTGATATTTCTTCCCTATAGTCCACGATGAGGGGCATGTTTTCACTTAGGGAACTGCTCACAAGTTAGCTGTATATTTTATATTGTGCATGGGCGATTGTGATTCGTATTACCCTTATTACGTAGGTATCTAAATGTTCATGGCTGTGAGGACCATAAATATGCTTAACTACAAAATTCACAGTGCAGTTTTCAGATTTTTATAAAAACTCACAGTGTCCCTTAAGGAATCCTCTCATACTTGAAGGTAAAAATCATCTCTCCTTTTTTTTTTTTGCATTCCATCTATTCATTCTACTGAGTCCCCTACAGAAATTTCACTACTCAAACGTAGTTTTGCGCAGTCTCTAGCATCTGATTCATTGGAACACATCTGCACCTCACCGTATTTTTTTCTCTTTCAATGTACTGATAATAATATACGCCCCTCATCGAAAGTCTTCTGGACTCATCATTTTCACTGGTATAGCGCACCACGACAAGGACACACACAAAGGAGAGATTCACACACACACAGCGCTAACTTGCAACTAATGTTTTATTTGCGATCACACACGCTGTTTATACAATAGGAGACGGATAAAACATGGATAATGTCACGTCAAGAATACAGCACAGCCCATGCACGTGTCATCACTGATAGCGACAATCTACACTAGCTCGTCAAAGCGAAAATTCCAGATACTTCTTTTCTTTAGATGATAATGCTATGGAAGCCACACTCACACATTTTTCTTTCAATTTGTCTATTTCAAAAGCTTCAATAATTTCACGTGTGGTTCTGTCACGGGCCTTAAAGAGTATACGGGTGTTTTGGAACATAGGGACGCAACCGCACCTCTGACAGTGAAGGGCCAAATGACCACATACACTGTCAGAGGTGCGGTTGCGTCCCTATGTTCCAAAACACCCGTATACTCTTTAAGGCCCGTGACAGAACCACACGTGAAATTATTGAAGCTTTTGAAATAGACAAAATGAAAGAAAAATGTGTGAGTGTGGCTTCCATAGCATTATCATCTAAAGAAAAGAAGTATCTGGAATTTTCGCTTTGACGAGCTAGTGTAGATTGTCGCTATCAGTGATGACACGTGCATGGGCTGTGCTGTATTCTTGACGTGACATTATCCATGTTTTATCCGTCTCCTATTGTATAAACAGCGTGTGTGATCGCAAATAAAACATTAGTTGCAAGTTAGCGCTGTGTGTGTGTGAATCTCTCCTTTGTGTGTGTCCTTGTCGTGGTGCGCTATACCAGTGAAAATGATGAATCCCAACCAACTAGCCCGGCAACGTGCCTTAGCAAACTTCTGGACTCAATGCGGTTTTCGCTACCTTCGATATTGAATTCAATGTAAGCTTTTTTCCCTTGATGTTCTTGTGTCCTCCAGTCATGATCGGCCCGCATTTCACCCAGCAAAGATGAAGGTGTCATCATGTGACTGCCCGTTGTGTGACGTCACGATGACGTCACAGTGAAGTGATGAAAACGTAATCAATTTTGTTGATTTCTTCTTTCATGATGACGCCTTTACCTGAACATCTTTTCTGTTGGCTTGACGCGAAACGCGCACCTCGACGCTAAAATTTAGTTTTTCATGAGGCATCCAAGACTGTCGTCTTGATTACTTTCAAACAACTGACAAATATTACATTCTAGATATCTGCATGGTAATGTGTCAGTCTTTCTTAACGCTGTCTGATTAAAACAGTGATACCCTAGTAGAACATGTCTTAAATTAACCATATTTTTTATTGCTAAGTGTTGCATCAGTGACCGGCCCTGCGTCTCAGAGCTACTGCTATGTATAGCTACTCGAAAAGGCAACGGATTGTGTTTACAAGTGCCATAAATCCCATACCTAGCGGGCTTCTTCACTTACATTCGTAGCTTTATTACTTTACCACAACATGAATGTCCAAGTGATTCTTTCGCTATAAATATGGCTCGTTATTTGAGCTTTTAACCGAGTTTTTTTCTCTTAGGTCGGAGAAAGAAACGCCAGCGTATGCAACAAAATAGAGCAAAAAAGTTAAAATTAGTAACAAAAGAAATATAGTGTCACCTGCACAAATCCAAGCGCCAGGCCCAAGCCACCGACAACGGCTCCTGTCCTCTCAAGAAGGACACGCAAGTTTTCACTGCACCCCTGGAATGTTTTCAATTATTTTACAAAGATGATTGCATCTTCGTCTATTGAGTTAATATGGTAGTTTAGTTTGGACAAAAGATATTTTTCAAAGTTTTTCACGGGCCCTTAAAAATTCCCACTGATAAATTTTAGTGTGTACAGATTTATGATATTTTACGCACTCAATTCTGCCACAAATAAATCGTGATAATTTAAATGGCTGTTCATAGATTCCTCTTCTCAGAAATGTTTTTTTTTCACTATAACATTTGCGTGTGCGATTATATAATTCATATCAAATAGGTGTTCAAGCAAGTTTCGTTTATTGTTATTTAGTTTTCAAACATCAGTTCTCCGGACACAGTTCCAATCATGCTAATAGATACTTTATGGGAAGCTGAGTTTAGAATCTCAAGCATTAAAATTTTCTATAATAACAGAAGGGCACAACATATACATCAGTGTTCACCAAAATAACATTTATATCACATGTGTGTTAGACAGTAGCCTCAGGTTATTCAAAACGCAACACGATCACTACTGGTCTTTAGAGTGGGCATAAAAGACTGTCATTAAACCATGTTACAACACGAGAAAAAAGATATTATTCTTGATTCATAAAACTATAGGGTATACATCAAGCACTAACTCAAATCTAAACCATTAAACACTCATGTTAGTTATAAGTGTCCCTTTGTGACCCTCTGTGTCCCTTTAAACTGGTTAAACTACAATAAAACATTGTGTGTCTCTGCCATAACCTATCCCAATATTGATCATATTGAGCTCTATCAACGTCACAGAAGCCAGCCCCGGATGATGGCAATTGATGGGGTCTTCTGCTTTGGTGTGTGCCATAATCAAATTGTGGTTTTAGAAAGCACCAATACACCAATACTCATTGTATTGTGCAGAAAGTATTGCGATAGAAGACATTTAAATGAAGAACAAAATTTTTACTTGCAATGTGCAATGAAATTTCATATCGGAGATACGCCCTTTGTGTTAGTTTCCCCCTTGCGTTTGTTTCTTTCTTGTGATAAAAATTTATGCTTGTGTAACTACAAATATTTGATGCTTATATACAGCCTGCAATCGTACTGAGAACATTATCAGCTTTATCATCAATGTGACATCATTGACAAAGCATACGTGAAGAAAAACTATCATATAGTAAAGGCATTTCCTCAGAATAAGCCGCAAACCACTTCAGTGCACTGCGAATGCTTGAGGTAGAACTGAAACAAAAGTGCCGAAGATTTTCTTACGTATATGAAGATGTTGTTCGTTCTGGAACTGCTGCAGGACTGCGGTATAGTCATGTCTCGGACCTCGTAGTCGTGCTTCGAAATGGCACCGCAACATTCAAGCTGCACCAAAATAACGAAGGAATATATATTCGTATTGAAATTATTCTAATTTATTTTTATTGCACGAAAAACTTCGCGTTATGTTTGTGCAATGAGAAACTCTTGCTACCACACAAAGGCTACCCCATGCTCGCCCAGTTACTTAAGAACGTGATATCTTTCTAGTGCTGCCATAAATCTCTTTTATATTTTATGAAGCGCCCATTTTATTTAGTGTAAAATGCAGGTGAGGATCGCAAAAAGAAGGATTTCTATGATAGTGTTACTATGAGTAGGGCTACTCACACTATTCCGGCCCAGAGACATTGTTGAAGCTATAAATATTCTCGCCTCTTTTTTTCCACATAGACATATCTACTCGTATGAGTCAACAGTCTTACGGAATTCAGAATGAACAGTTTTTGTATCTTCACCCTTCTTGGGATGCTTCCACCTCCTGAAAAGTCATTTTCATCGTTTGGCGGCCGCATGTTCTTCGGCGTAGCTATAGCGTACTCGCCACCGTACAATATTCACGGTGCATGTGCATACCATGTTCTTTTTTTTTGGGGGGGGGGGGGGAGGGGAATTATATCGACATTTTATTTGTAAGATCTGGCTGACCAGCTTGCCGTTGAGCTAAAGGTACCAATAAATCTCCCTGCCTTTATTTATTTACCATGTATACCGCATCCATTTGCCATGAGTGGCTTCTGCGGAGAGCTCACAAGCTTCGCGATACTTTCGGCTATGGTCAAAGGTAAAAAAACAAAATGCTGACCAATAAACACACATTTAAAATACCATACGTTTCGGCTTCTGTACTTGGGTAGGCTGACTGAGGGGCAAAAACATATCTACTCTTTAAGCACCAGCTCGCCCAATAAGAAGTCCTTTTAGAATATCTTTCTCGTACTTGGGTTGGTACGTCCGTGTTATTGCTTTTTACCTTCTGACGATGATTACGCCCGACCAGGAAAGCTCTCATAAAACCTGTGATTTCACTTTTGGTGGCTGTATAAAGTATCTAATCATTCAGAATAGCAAGTACCATGCCAGCTACTTCGCTCACGGCCTTATTATTTAGAAGCGTGTCGTGGCAAAAATGTGGAAGCTCCACGCCGCACCGCATTATTGATTACAAGAAAGCGAGGTATTAGCGTGCGCGAAACCAGAGAGACGGGTGAGCATACCTAAGAAAAGAAAATTGCAACTGGCTGCTGAAAGTTTAAAAGAATGACCTAACAAACTATGTGAAATTGTTTCTTTTGAGCATCGTGCTCAGAATATCGCAAGATGCCACGAAGTGACGCTTGAGCGGCTCGCGATTTAGAATGATTAGGCACATTTCAAATTCGCATCTTGAAAAAAGTCATCCTACGAAGTTAAAGATTTAACGGAGTAGTTCTAATTCCTCGGCAGGTACCAATAGCGTCTATCGATGTCGTCCGCCTGTGTTAACGAAAAGAATTTGGCACCTAAACTGATTCAACTAATTTTTTTATTTAGGAACGAAAAGGTAAAATTATAGATTTTTTTTTATTTTGGCGTAGAGTTTTCCTAGAACGTGCGTTCTTACAAGCTCAATTATACCCACCACGGTTTCGTAAAAGTTATGGTTCTCGGCTACTAACCCGGAGGTTGCGGGTTTTACCCCGGTTGCGGGGGTGGCACATCGATGGAGGCAAAGTAGCAGAGGCCCGTGCACTGTGTGGTGCCATTGCGCGTTAAAAAAAACTAGATGGTCAAAATTTCGGGAAGCCTTCACAACGGCATCCTAACAATGATGTATTGATTGTGGAACATTATACCTCAAATATTAAAAATAAATTATTAATTCTTGTGCTATCGCATTGAAACATTTTACCGCTTAGTATCCACCCTGCTTGACTATCAGTCGGTGCTACTCCTTCGTGTCAAATTGATATACGAGCCACAGTGCTTGGGTTCCTTTTTAAATGTCACAGCAACGCTACTCTGGCTGCTTTTGCTATTGCGTGGTTATGCGACAGATGTGGACATTCCCTCGTCGCAAGTTCCTTGATTAGCTTGCTCGTATATATAATCAATTCACTTTCGCCGAATTAGCACATCGACTGTCTGTTGTACACTTACATGGCTGCCAATTGTAGCCCGGAATGAAGGCCTCCCTCGTCTAAGCTATACTTGGGGGCTATTCTAGGGCATGTTCATACGTGCAGCCCTAGGTTATCGGGACATACAAAGCCATGGTAGCTTTAAGCTTATGAAAAATAGACACGAACCATTCCATTGAAATAAAGTAATAACCTATATTTGCTTTTAAAGGATAAATCCTGATATGTCGGGTCCAACTTGGACCCTTCTTCATGGGTGACAGTGCGGCCACAGAGTTTATCACACATTCTGCTCCCATCGGGAGTCACGCTTGTTTTGACCGCCGTGCGGTAGTCTGTTGTAGTACACGTTCGCCGAGCACACCTATTTCCAGCTGTTGCCACAATATACCACTACTTCACGAAGTGCCACTAGTAGAAACTGGCTTGCGCCGACGACGCGACAGTTGTAAAAAGGCGATGTGGAAACCGTTGACCTCGCTATGCTCGGTCACTGCACAGTTTTGTCGTTCAAACTTGCGAACGCATTTCTGGCGATGTGCTGTCACAGGCTCTCTGGCAAGCTTTATCGTGATAGAAATTATATGGACACTTTCGGCTGAATTTTGCCATCGCCGTCGGCGTCGACGTCGACGGCGAGACGCGTCATGATATATCATCATTCATCGTATATTCATCATCGTATATGTCATTCACCGTGTATATATCACCGCCGTCATTCACCGCCATCATTCACTGTTTTTTTACATTAAATTACAAGAAAAGAGAAATAATCGAGAAAAAAATTCACAGATCCCGCGTGTACAGTGGGAATCAATGATATGCGAAGCACGAATAAGGAAATTTGATAGGTTACTTCAAAATCAGCACAACGTTACAACACGAAGGTAAGTGACTTTCATGTCTTTCATGTCATGATTACCGTGTTTGGACATTTCAATTACCTTCGTCGTCTATTAACCTCACCTGATACCAACTTTGGTATATATGAAGCTAGCGAAAGGGTCGCGAGCGTGCTATGACCGTAGCATGCAGTCATGTTTACATAACATTCATATTGTGATTATCATGTTTGAACGTGTGATTTACATTAGTCGTCCATTCACGTCACGTATTACTAAATTTGGTATATGTGGAACTAGTGAAACGGCTGCGAGAACGCTATGAGCGTAGCATGTAGTCATTTTTACAAGATACGCTTAATATTACAATCAGGTTTGGACGTTTCATTTACCTACGTCGTCTATTCACCTCCCGCGATACCAAGTTTGGTACATGTGGAGCTAGCGAAACGCCGGCGGACGCGTCATAAAAGGCCCAATATACTCCGACGCATCGTAGACGCGCGCACAGGCAGGGCGCAGTGACGCCACGCTAGCGCAACGCGACATAGCGCTAGTGCCACGCGTGATATGCGACATGCTGAATTTCGCGCCGGCCACATTAGTTAGACAGCACCGCGTCTACCTCTCTTCGTGACGGGGGAACGCCATGCGCGCTCAAACGTGCATGCGTCAAAGCAACGCAGCACGCGCTTGCTAGTACAAGGCAGGCAGATCCGCTATGGAGATCCATGGGCAGAACCACTGATTTCTACTAGGGGGATATCGGCGCCAGGCGTGGTTTTGCCGGCGTGACGCAATGAAACAAACGCCGGCGCGCATGCGCACCGGGTCACGTCGAAGGGTATAGGCGCTTTCAGTGTGGCATGTGGTCATGATCTTACATTACATTCATCTCACGATTATCATGTTTGCACCAGCCACATACCTTCGTCATTCAATCATTTGATGTAATACCAAATTTGGCATATGTGAAGCTAGCAAATCGGTCACGAACGCACGCACCATCAGTGTGGGATGTAGTCTTGTTGTTACATGACACGGATGTTATGATCATCATGTTTGGGCGTGTTATTTACCTATGTCGTCCGTTCGCGTGACGTAATACCAAATTTGGTACATGTGAAGCTAGCAAAACGGCCGCAAGCGCATCATGAGTGTAGCATGTAGTCATGTTGTTACATGACACACATTTCATGATTATCATGTTCGCACTAGTAACAGACCTTCGTCATTCATTCACGTCCCATCATACCAAATTTGGTATGATGGGACGATAGCGGAACGGCCGCGAGCACATCATGAGTGTGGCGTGTAGTCATGTTGTTACATAATATGCATCTCATGAATTTCATGTTAGGGTCTGTCGCTTGTGCTCGCCATGCAGTCATGTCATACCATACCCCTTTTGCAACATGTCATGCGAATGAAACCACCGCAACAGCAGCAAGACCGTGAAATTAAATCATGACATTCGTGACATACCTGTAATGAGTTTCATGTTATGACTGGTCAGTTATGTTCATCATACAGTTATGTTATGTCATACCAAGGTTGGTATTGATACCATTATCCAAACGGCCAGGAGAGCTTAAAGTCCTACGCGGCTAGATAGATAGATAGATAGATAGATAGATAGATAGATAGATAGATAGATAGATAGATAGATAGATAGATAGATAGATAGATAGATAGATAGATAGATAGATAGATAGATAGATAGATAGACAGACAGACAGACAGACAGACAGACAGACAGACAGACAGACAGACAGACAGACAGACAGACAGACAGACAGACAGACAGATAGATAGATAGATAGATAGATAGATAGATAGATAGATAGATAGATAGATAGATAGATAGATAGATAGATAGATAGATAGATAGATAGATAGATAGATAGATAGATAGATAGATAGATAGATAGATAGATAGATAGATAGATAGATAGATAGATAGATAGATAAATAGATAGATAGATAGATAGATAGATAGATAGATAGATAGATAGATAGATAGATAGATAGATAGATAGATAGATAGATAGATAGATAGATAGATAGATAGATAGATAGATAG